GTCTCATATTTGGATATTTTACTAGAAAAAGACGTTAATGGTAATCTAACAACCAAGCTTTATGATGACTTTAACTTTACAATCATCAACGTCCCTTACTTATGCAGCAATTTACCTTCATCACCTCCATACGGGGTTTATATCTCTCAGTTGATTTGATACGCACGAGCATGCTTTACGTATGTACAATTTCTAAAACGAGGTAAATTATTGACAAACAAGTTGATGAAACAAGAATATCAGCAGTCTTGTTTGTAGTCGTCATTTCGTAAGTTCTATGGCCGATACAATGACCTTGTCAGCAAATACAATTTATCATTAAGTCAAATGCTGACTGACGTTTTTCATAGTTATTGTTAGGCCATTATTTACACGCTGAATTGTCGACAGTTTTTTTCCGTTATTTCCCGATCATGACAAGGAGCATACGGCGGGTGTGACCGGTCGGCAGGGGATGCTCACTCCTTCATGGCCCCTTATACCACCTCTGATGTTTTGGAGGTCCGTGTTTGCTCTGCTCCAAAATTTGTATGGTTTAATGGACTTTTGAGCTTGTATAGTGTTCGTTATCTCCATACATTTCATTCGTTAAACTGAGTCATGTGACAATTTGTCCTTCGATCATCCCTTTATATGCTGAACAGAAATTCATAACAAAGTAGTAAATCTTGATTCATAGTCTTTTATAATTATTTTTGCAATACATTAATATATAAGAATTTCAATTTTTCTGACCATATTTTTTTGTTTGTCCAATATTTGTAAGAATTGACTTTTTAATCTTTAAACAGTTCAGTATTAAACCTTGAAATAGGTCTATACTTCAGGAAGTGTATGAAGTGTTGGGCTGGTAGCACAACATTGAGGTTCCCTGAAGGATACCTGATGAGTTATGTTTTAAAATTGTACTTGTACAAAGGGAGCCAACACACCTAAGGCAAAATTCGGTCAAATTAAAAAATACTTTCAAAATGAAATATCTTATATATTTATGATGAAATGATATGAAAGACAATTGAGAAAATATTAATCTTAAACGATTCTTGCTAAAAAAGATTGGGCTGAGGTTGGCGACAGTTCAGCAAGTGTAGCATTTTCTAAACCGTTTGAACCGTCTTGGCTTATATTCCTTAATAAATATTGAGCATATTGTTAACATCAAGCTTAATTGACTTTTAAACGTTATTTTTGTAAAAGGGTTGTGACTACACTTTTTGTCTATTTACCAATGCATATCTGTAAAATTCAGTTTGATATCATATATATATACTTAAATGTGTGTTTTTTTGTAAAATATTACATGGATAGAATTAGAAAGGCGATGTTCTCTGATGTCCAATCCCAATCCTTTTTGCTGAAATTCTTAAGAAGTAATTAAACATGCGGTAAAACATTTGCATGGACCAGGCATTTCTATTATTTTACATAAACTTAACAAATAGCAAGGATATGCGCAAGCTATCTTTTTATATCCAGGTAGGTCTCTACCAGGAATTATATTGGTTAAAAGTAATGTTTTTCAATTTGAATCATTAGAATAAAATCTTATATAATTGAAAGGCCCAAAAATACACATTTTGACAGGTTACGTTTCTGACCAGAAACTCTAGAAGACGTATACCCCCCTTTTTTATCACATATTCTCAACTGAAAGCACTATTGATCAGGTAGACGGAACATTCCAAAGTCAAATTAAGTATAAAAACAAAGGCCTATGAACATATTTTCAGAAAACAGAAAGATAATAACAAATGTATTATTAAAAACCTCAAAATATTACAAAGCATGATTTTAGATACATATTTATAAAAACAAGATTTTAAAAAATATATATATGTATTATGTAATGCTGTAACAATTTATTTCTGGTTATATAGAGGATATTCAATGTTTTGTAGATGAATATGGAATTTATTTCACGAGTGGGACAGGATTTTTTTTATATTTTCACGAGTGCGATTGAATTTTCTTTTTACTAATTTTCCCTTTGTCTCTGTCTTTATGTAACACAGTGTCATAGGCTGTGACGTCATAGTTGAGCGGTTGGGACGTCATAGCTAAACGATTGCGAGATTGAAAAACGTTGTAAACATGGGTTTTTAACGACATATTTGGAGAAAATTTGTCAGTATAACTATTGTCTTTGTCAGGATGGCTCATTAACTCTATCTTATAACAGGCCGGGGATTTTTTTTTTTTAAACACTCTTCGTGAAGGGAAGGAAAATTTACATAAAAACAGAGGCAAAGGGAAAATTGATAAAAAGAAAATTCAATGTTTTGATGAATATGGAATTTATTTCACTCCTGAGACAGGATTTTTTGATATTTTCGTATCGATCCGCCTAATGTTACATTTAAGTTTTGTACAATTTGTATCATTTTTAAGAGGAATCATCTTTTTTCATTTACTTCATGAATGAAAATTAAATTATAAGAAATGAATTTAATATCTACACAATTTATACGGTATAAACTGGGTAATTGGGTAGCTATTAAATTCATTCCTTAAATACAAATACAACACAAACAAACATGTGTAAAGGTTTGTTTGTTTTTTAAACTAATAATTAAAAGTTTTTTCCTGTAACTTTGAACTTAAAATGATGTCATTACTGTTTTTTTATGTTAGTATTTTATTTATTTATTTATTAATTTTGCATAATCTTCTTTACATCGAGAGACCATTCCTTTAAAAAAAACAACATATTTTGCACCTGCATGTTCCAAAAGGTCGATAGGCACGTTTACATTCCTATAACAACCATGAAATTCGGGGAAGATCTGACAGTTAGAATTCTGAGTTTCTTTTAACACCTGTTATTATATAATGATCGTGAAATGCGTCCTGTGAAATTCACTATTTCGCAGCTTGACTAATTCGTGCAGGTACATGAATCTTTGATGTAAAGTAAACTTCATTTGGCAAAAAAGACACGACTAGGTTTTATGTATCGGAATACTAATCCCTGAGTTTACAGAAGTCTATCAGATTTAAATGTTGAAGATTTGACATTAGATTTCTTTTCGAGTCTACAATTTGGACCACCATTTGAATTAAAAATTCAGTACATTGATATCAAATAAACAACTAAAGCGCTTTCTTATGAAAAATTTAAAAAATATTCATATAAAATAGGAAAAACAAGAATTCAAAAAATAAGCCATTTCAAATAATTTTAAAAGAGAATTGTGGTACTAAAATCCCTCCTTGCTTTCTAATGTTAGTTAGAAAAATGTAAATTACACTTTTTTGATTATTTTCTTTTTTCTCAATTATTTTATTTGATGAGAGATTTTTGACTATGGTTGGTAAATTTCCAATAAAAGTAGTAGATTGGGTCGTGAAAAAATTCTAAAATAAAAAAAAATACTGTTGTTCATGGGAAAATAGTAGAAAATTTCGGAAAGAGATTAACATAATTAACGGTATAACAAATCTTTCAAATATTATAACAAAACTTATTTTTATATGCTTAGCATTTTTATCATTCTATTCTATTTTATTGGCATATTCCTGTTTCCTTGAAAGATCATTCTAAAACGTTCATAGTAAACAACAAGTTTTGCACCTGCAGATTCTCAGAGCGTCACAAATTCTAGCAGATACTATTGTCTCTGACCACGACAAAATTTATGTTACCGAGGTCCACAAGGACTTTATCACATCTTGATTACAAAGGAGGAAATAACAGTTCAATATTTCTGCCTTAAAAATATTTTAAATCTTATATAAGTTTACAAACCTGATTTGGCTTATTTAAGTCCAGGAAATATTTCTCCTCCTTTGAAATTTTCTTTAACTCATCATTGCGTTCTAGGACGTGCACTCTCATTATAAGTTGACCTGATAGACACAAGGGAAAGGGTCGACTAAATGTCATATAATATACGTGTATTTAAATATTGAAGAGTTTCTGATGCAGTGATTAGTTGGATGTTTGCTAGGAGTCCTTTCAAGAAAATTTGTAATTCTTAGTTGGCCCTTATTGTCTATAGTCAGTAAATATGAAAATGCAAATATGAAATAGATGTGACAAACTATGAGGTGTTTTTAACTGGTGTCTTTCTAATATGCATAATTAGTATCTATCCTCTGTCTTTTCACAGCTTGACATGACAAATGAATGAAATATGTGTAGATAACGAACAGTATTCGAGCTCAATAGTCCATTAAACATTGCAAAATAGGAGCAGAGCAAACACGGACCTCTAAGACATCAGAGGTGGGATCAGGTGCCATGGAGGAGTAAGCATCCCCTGCCGACCGGTCACACCCGCCGTGTGCTCCTTGTCATGATCGGGAAATAACGGAAAAATCCTTCGACAATTCAGTGTGTAAATAATGGCCTAACAATAAGTACAAATTGAAAAAAGTCAGTCAGCGTTTGACATAATGATAGATTGTATTTGCTGACAAGGTCATTGTTTCGACCATAGAACTTACGAAATGATGACCTAAAACGAGGTTGCTGATATTCTTGTTTCAGCAACTTGTTTGTCAATAATAATGTTTCTTTGAAATAAGGGGACGTCTGGACAACTTTTTCTGATTATAGAATCCCAGTAGTTGCTATTAAAGCTTTGATCATAATGTGGATTTTTTTAATCAGTACAACACACTTCATATCAGTGTGTCATCGATAAAATTCAAGGTAATCGGAAAAGGGGAATCCCTGCTGTGTCCACGTATTTCATAAGACAAATCTATGCATTGTTCATGATAACTCGTCAAATCAAATTCTTTTCTATATTATAAACTGATATTCAAAATAAGGATAGTTATCTAACAAATTGTATGCAAAAGTATATTTTAAGAGATAAAGACTTCTAATATATATGCAAGGAATAAAGATAAGTAAAAGTTATCTCAGTTATTTTAAGAAAAGATAGATTACATGTAACTTCACTCTGTTGCTGTTCATATTTTCATTTTAGAATGTGACAACTTGCTGCGTTTCATTATTTTATTTTTTTTTTAAAATGAATTTCATAGTTTTTAACATAACAATAAAAAATTCTTGGCACACAATGTTGTAAAATTGATATCACAACAGGAAAAGACTACTGTTCAAAGACAGTAGACTTCATTCTAATATTTAAATGAATATCCTCTCTGATTTTTTAAAATAATTTAATCTTTAATAACTTTCCTCAGACTCGCTGCGTACTGCACTTCCATTGCTTTGATGTACGTGTTCAGGTTCTGATCCGAAAGAAGTTTCCGTTACGTCTACACTGTACACGGAACCCCTCTGGACCGATCTGGTGGATCCTTTTTGAAAGCTGTTAGAATAAAATAATCAAGCGATAAAAGAGACTTCTTACTCCAAATTAGAATTTCAAACCAGAGAATGTTTATCTTGCATACATTTCAAAAAAAAAAATTTTGATCTTACACACAAGTTCATGCAAAAACATAATGCTTATGGAAAATTATGTTAGGAATCTGTGTAAATGTTAATAAAGAAAAGTATGGACATTTTACCTGATATTACGTGCTGTAAATTTCAAAATTCCTAAAAGCTTTTTCCTGAATCGTTGGTTTGATAAATTATAAAGAATGAAGTTCATGGCATAATTTGTAAATTGAAACAAATAAAAGCTCGCCCAAATTAGATCTTTAACTGCCTGCATATATTTGGATTTCACATCTACATAAGAGTCCACAATGAAATATACCGCTATAGGGGCAGTAGTTGAGAGAAAGTATATACTAGTGACTAGAAGCATAATTGTTAACCTCCTGTCAAATCTATTCATCCGATTTGTCGTTGTTGAGTTTTGGACGGTATTTCTCCGGAACTGGCGAGATTGTCTTAGGACACGAATCATAACTACGTTCATTGAGATCATGAGTAAAAATGGTAGAGCGGATAGAAATGTAAAATCAATCCAAATAAAAACATATTCATCATACTGTAAATAGCGTTTATTTAAAGATGTGCACTCTGTCTCATTTCCATCAGTCTTTATTCCATTTGTGATCAACAGATGCATATCTATACCACTTAATATAACCATCACTAGTATAATAAGGCACACACATTTACGTATTGTCACAATTCTCATATACCTCAATGGAAACCTGATTTTAAGGAATCTCTCGAAAACGACACACACAAGAATCCATGAGGAACACTGCATAGACCAGTAAATGACAAAAAGACTTATCTTACACCCAGCTTGTCCTGTTAGTCGAAGATTGAAATGAAATGTATTCTGCACCCAGTACTGACTGAGACCAACGCATAGAACAGTCATATCAAACAGGGATAAAACAAAAAGAAACATGTATGGCGGCTTGCGTTTGAAGTTCATCTTCTTTAAGACTATAATGATGATAATATTCCCGGTTATTCCTACAATGAAAATCACAGGGGATAGAATTCTCCATAAATACTCCCCTATTTCCTCCAATTCTTCAAAATCATTCGGTTCAGACGTAGAATTATATGCTGCATCTATTGTTGAATTATCGTGGCGCTGAGACTCTGTCACATTCTCCATGTTTGTAAACATCAGAGACGGATTTTGTCCCTCTGAAAAGATGAATTAAGTCATGAACAATTTCCATCGGAAAACAGTAAGAAATAATAATGTCACTCCTCGATGCAATGCAGTATAATAATTTAAATCACAAGAGGGCTCTGGCGCTATCAGGAAGCAGGGTAAATGTACACCGGGTCGTGTTATTATTTGTCTTGCTGTAGCAGCACGATTAGATCATAAACGAGTGCTGGCTGTTGAGTTGATCAGTGGGCAAGTACTAAGTCAACGTTATCTGTCACAATAATGTACTATTTCTATCTGGACACAGAAATGTTACTCTAACGAAACTTCCTTATTACGTAATCAATTATGGGGAAAATATTGAGAGATAAAATATCAATTTACACATTATAAGAGGGATTTACAAAGAGAGAAAATAAGGTATGAATCATTGAAATTTCTCAAGGGCAATAAATTTGAAAAGCGATCCCAAGTTTTCGATCATCTCAACATGAGTGTTTTACAAAGTATTTGTTTTGTTCTTCTTCACCACAACCGCAATTGTTAAAATATAAAATATCCGGTATAACCCATTCCTAGTTGTCAGCTAGATTAAACATGTTTTATGATTAAGTTTTCCAAATACCTGTACTTATGGGTACAATTAAATTTCAAAATTAGAAACCAAAGATATTTGTCATCTTTAAACTCTGATATGGATTTTTTTTAAAAATTATCTTATTAATTTTTATAAGATGATTTTTAAAATATGATTTGTTTAGCTTTAATTGTAAAAAAAAATATATAAAAATAAATGAAAAACTATTTCTCTAGTTTTATTTGCTGAAGAGTTAACACAATAATGTAAATTAAACATATTTTATGATTAACTTTTCCAAATACCTGTATTTATGGGTACATTTAAATTTCATGATAAGAAACCTTTTTTTCAATCTTTAAACTCTGATATGAATTTAAAAAACTGTAATAATACATGTATCTTTATAATTTATATTAGATATTTAAAAAAAAATATTCGTTCAGCTTTAATTGTAAAAATATAATAAATTAATAAAAACTCAACTCTAGTTGTATTTTGCGGAAGAGTTGACCAAATAAGGGAAAGGCATACAACCCATTCCCAGTTGTCAGGTAAATTAAACATTATATTATGATAAACCTTTCCAAATACCTGTACTTATTTCAAGATTAGAAACCAAAGAAATTTTCAATCATTTAACTCTGATATGAATTTAAAAAAAAAATCTGTAATAATATCTCCCTCATTTATATTAGATGATTTTTAAAATATGATCTCATTAGTCTAATTGTAAAAATTATAATGATACATAAATGAAAAATTAACCTCTAGTTGTATTTTGCTTAATACTTAACACAATAATTGAAAGACGTATATGTATGTTGTTTTTCTTAATAACGATAGCATATTCTAATATAATCTTACATCTCAGGAATAAAGCAAAATAAATAAATAAATAAATAAATAAATAAATAAATAAATAAAATAAATAAATAAATAAAAATAAATATATGTATATTAAAAAAATAAAAAATATATATATTGGATAAAATCATTCAGTTGTTTAGTTTTCTTTTAATCAGAAAAAAACTGGTTTTTAATGCATTTCTGGCATTCATTATTATTATTATTATTTTTACAGGAAACCATTGTTCAAAAATCAAATATTTAAGATAAAGAGTACCTGTAATACAGGGAATAATTTGTCTATAAAGGAAATCAGTCTTGTCCATGAGTATGATAGTTGTTAAGATCGAAGATATTGTATGAAAACAAAAACAGAAAGGTTCATTTTGTCTTGTTTTAAAACTTTATTCGGTGTATAATATTAAAAAATAATAATAATAATAAAATATGTGAAACATTTACAAATTCTTGATTGATCGCCCATAAATAGATATTAATTGTATATTTTCATATTTGTCCATCGGTAGATTTAATTTGCAATTTTCTTCAAATTGCACAGATTTATACTAGTATATAGAAAATGCTTCAAATATTCTTTGATGTGTGATAAGTAAACAAAGATGAAAATTATTTGTAATATAAACACTTTTGAATATTTTGTATGTAATATTAAAACTATTAAATTAAAAAAAAGAATTCTTTTTTACTTCATGAGGTTACTAACTAGAGTCATGATCATTCTGCACGTAAGCCACCCGATTTATTGTTTTAAATGTTAAGCAAGATATCCAATAAAAGCTTAGCATCGATTTCTTAGGTGAATCATTTTCTCTTACATTCTGTTTTTATCATTTCAAGAAGTCTCTCCAAATAATCCACCAGTTGCCCAATAAATGACAGGTATAGGACTGGTACATGTATTGCAATAAGGAAGTGTCAGAAATTCACGTTTGTTTTGGATGATAAAATAGAATTCGGTACTTTATTTATCTTCACTTAAATCTTTTTTCATGATTTACACAGTTGCACCGTGAGAAAGCCAATGCACAGGTGAATGTCAAGAACACATTGGTTAGTGGAGTTTTATGAGTTTGCTGGCGTGAATTATAGAGAATAAAGTTACTTTCGTGTTTAGTTCTACATTGAAGAAAACATATCTCAAAAGTTAAAATAGTTATTTTTTTGTAGGATACTTTCTTAAAAAACTGAAAAGCAAGTTGTCAAGATAATCGACAATAAGCCCTATTCATAAAACTAGAGAGTTCCAAGGAACGCTTGTGTCGCCTTCCATATAGCACCATTATTTTATGTATCATTTTATTATGTTTTTAATCCAAAAATCCTTCCAAACTGACCAAAGAGATTTCAGTCTGTTTTTACCGCAATTATCAGTCTACAACTATCAATCTTGGTATACTGATCCCGTTGTATTTACATAGTATTTAAAGTTCAGTTTGTGTGGTAATGGTAAATGTATATCATACAGTTTAAAAGTAGAGTGTCATGGGCTAATAAAAATGAGATAATGCTAATTGTTAAAACCCACCTCTACAAAACACGTAAGTTGAATTAACCGTCCAAAGTATTTTTGTAAAGTAGGTCAAAGGTCAAGGTCCAGTAAATTGTAATGCTGGTGTTTTTTTTTCATAATATTTTATGACAAACTGTACACTTGCTAAGCACTTGTAGCATATCCTTATCTCTTAAATGTCAAAAATATGCTGTCTATCGGTACTATGAACTATTTTGAAAAGTAGGTGACAGGTCAAGTTCAAAGGCCATGAGGTTGGTAACCATGGTAATTTACAAATGCCATAATGATAAGCAAAATATGTACACAATATCAATCCATACCTCTTACAGTTCTCAAGATACAAGGTGTGACAGACAGACAGACGCCTGGTAAAGTGATCCCTAAGTGTCGCTTTGCTCTGCAAGCGACGAAATAAAATGTCTTTGTTTATTTATACAGATGAAAGAATAAAAATTGCAACGTTGCGGGAAAATTAAATCACTGGCGTAAGGGGTTTTAGAAATATTTTCTACCATGTTTCAACCGTTCACCCTCAAAGAAAAACAGTTCCTGTTTATGCAAGTATTTAAATTTATTTTAACTATCCATATATATACGGTGTTTATATCTCTCAGTTGATTCGATACGCACGAGCATGCTTTACGTATGTACAGTTTCTAAAACGAGGTAAATTATTGACAAACAAGTTTAGCAGTCTCGTTTAAAGTCATTTCGTAAGTTCTATGGTCGATACAATGATCAAGTCAGCAAGTACAATTTATCATTGAGTTAAATGCTGACTGACGTTTTTCATACTTATTGTTAGGCCATCATTTACACTCTGAATTGTCGAAGGATTTTTCCGTTATTTCCCGATCATGACAAGGAGCACACGGCGGGTGTGACCGGTCGGCAGGGGATGCTCACTCCTCCATGGCACCTAGTCCCACCTCTGATGTTTTTGAGGTCCGTGTTTGCTATGCTCCTATTTTGAATTATTTAATGGACTTTTGAGCTTGCATACTGTTCGTTATCTCCATATATTTCATAAAGTGGGTGAGGACAAGTAAAATACTTGCCATGTGTGTTTACTTTAACGAAACAATCAGCTACTTCTCAAAATCTTCTTGTGCAGACTCACCCAAAATTAACTCGAATTTGTTTTTAATATATGACATTGTTAACTATAGTCTATTAAATAACATGACACTTTTTAATTTGGGTATATGTAACTATATAATTATTCAGTGTATGTCATGATGGACGATTTTAAAGTAATGGTTTTAAATCAAAAGTCAATATGAGAGGTAAATAATTCAAGGGGTTAATTTTCGCTTTAAGTTCAAGTTAACTACTAACTAAGTTAAGTTTAAGTTCAAGTTCTCCATGAAATTTCAAATTCAAGAAATAGAGAAATAATTTTTATAAAAGGATTGTGTACATGTTATGGATTATGTAAAGAGAAACATCAGATATCAACATACATCAACAACTTCTAAAACCTTTCAATACATTCGACATTTGAAGACTATTTAAATTTGGGAACAACATTTGTCTTACTATTTCTGAGTGCTCTATGTAAAACTTATATCGCCAACCTCAAGGATTTTTTGTTTGTTTGTTTGTTTGTTTTGTTTTGATTTTTGTTTCTTGTTTGTTCTCTATTTTATTTGTTTGTTTGTTTTCGTTGTTGTTTTGTTTGTACGTTTGCGTTTGTTTTGTTTTTGTTTTGTTTCTTTGTATAGTTGCTTTTTCAGCTCCTAGTGTTCTGGAGGGTATCCTGTTTCATGATAAACAGAATTATTTCCGTTACGACAAAAATAAGATTATCAATGATTTTTCAATTTATACTGAATTGGGATATAATAAATAAGAATAAAAGAAGTTTGAAATTCGAGGTATCATCATATTCATTTTTGACAACATCAAGAGCTAGCATGTTTAATACGAGTATCGTAGAAAATCAAAATAAAACTCTTCTATAAGCAAATGAAAATTATATTTCCATAAAGAGTGTCTTTCGAATAATGCTAGAGAGCTATTCTTTCTCATAGTGAAATCACACAGATAGATTTAAACTAGAGGTTATGCATTGTAAATCATATACTCTATTTTATTTCAGTGCCCAATGCTAAATATGTTTGAATTGAAATTGAAGAAAGAAAGTAAATATGATTTTCACAAAGTGCTTTACACAGTTTATATGATATTTATTTGTTATTTTCACAGAAACACATTTTAATCACAAAGAGGTAAATTTACGATACAATACTTAGGTAGTTATAAACTGTAAGATACAATCAGAATAACAAATATTTAATCAACAAATAAAATATCTATATGGAATACAACATTTGGTCTGTGGGTTTTACGATATGGATGTCTTCATTATCTTATTATCTTAGCCGTGATTTCCGAGAATCACATAAAGGGTATTTCATAGTAGTACGACGTCCTATTTCTATTTAATCTCTTAAGATTAATAGTCAGTATTCAGTTCATAATTCTGACTGTGAAAATTTGACATTTTAATGTATACACTTCTTTGCAGCATACATTTCAGCCATCATCAATGAACTTTCTGATACAACACAATAAAAAAAATGACTAGATGTACATAGATCTCAAAGCACTCTCATGATATTATGCTTGTCATGACCCCACCATATACAAGCATTAAGAGAATTTATAACGGTAAAAATTTTCTTATTAATCTTTACATCCTGACGACCGTTCATGAGAATTGTGCAAAAAATAATCCGTGTCAGGAATTGGACGTTATTCTCCTGTAGACATTTCCTCAGAATCTTTGGTTGTCTCTGATCCAATAAATGTGTCTGCCGTTTGTACACTGTAAACAGAGTCGCTTTTTGAAGATTTCCTGTAAAAAATAAACAAAAATATACATTCAAATATAACAAAACTGGTAGAATATTATGGTCAATATTGAAATCTATGTTTTCATAGAACTGTCTTTTTTCTGATTAAAAATATTTGATGAATTCAATTGCCTTAATTTTAATTCAATCAAAACTGTTTTATAAAATCTTATTTTTTAAAAACAACAGATGGATTTAAATGTATCATTAAGATATGATTTATAATTAATGTATCAGCAGTATTCTATGTAACATACCTCTTCTTTGTCGGCGATCTGCATTTGATCAGGTCGATAAATTTGTTTCTGAATTTTTTATTAATCAAATTGTACAAAAAGAAGTTTATTGTATAATTTGAGAACTGAAAGAGATATGAAGAGGACCAAACGACGTCCATTTTCGCACTTTGAAGATCTGTGATATCCTCCTGGTAAGAATCCACAATAAAGTAGACACTTATTGGTAAAGTAGCTACAAGGAAATACACACTGGTATACACTAGCATCCTTGTCAATTTCAAATCGAATTTCTTCAGTTTTTTATTCGTGCTCTTACTACGGACAGTACATTTACGGAATTTTCTAGACTGTCGAATCACACGAATTATGGTTGCGTTCATCGCAATCATCAATAGAAATGGCAACACAGACAAAACTGTGAAGTCCACGTAGGTGAAGACAAATTCTTCAAAGTTGAAATATGCGTCTGTCAGAGAATTACACTCCCATTCCGATCCATCTGGAATTAAGCCGTTTGTCCAGAAATAATGCATATCAACTCCAGCTAAAACAACCATAAGTAGAAATACCAAAGCTATACATCTTGGAATAGTGACTATTCTTGGATAGCGATAGGGAAAGTTAGTTTTTATGCAACGCTCTAGAACAACACAAACAAGAATCCATGAGGATAACTGCATGGACCAGTAAATGAAAAACAAATTGAATTTACATCCAAAGTTAGTCAGAGCGCGAATATCTGAGGAAAATGTTTCTCTGATCCAGTACCTGCTAAGTCCAACACACAGAACCGTAATGTCACTAAGAGCTAGTACAAACAAAAAGAAAAATGGGGGTTTCTTGTGGAACTTCATCTGCCTCAGAACGCCAATTGTAAGTACATTACCAGTCACACCGACAATGAAAAGAATTGGTGAGAATATGACCCAGAGGTACCTGGAAACATCTTCTAGGAGACTAACATAAGTGTCGGACACCACAGAGGTGTTCATCTCCTCGGTCACATTGTCAAATGATACAGAAGGCCATATTGTCGAGACGTTAAAAATGGAGTCTTCTGAATCAGCATAGGACTGATTTGTACTGCTGACATTGGTCATGATGACTTGTAAAAAAGTACCATGCTAAACATATACACTCGAACACTTACTCACGGCATGAGGAAAGAGTTTCACACCGGGAAAAGATTACATGTAAACACTCATGCCGGCTACAAATACTCTTATCAAATGCTATAAAGTTAGTATCACAAACGTAGGTGAGTGATTGGCAGTCGTACAATCTTTAAAAACTCCCATTACCCGTCAGTAAAACATTACATAACTCTATTACAATGAATACTCAATATAAGAATGAACTTGCAGTTTCAAAATAATTACATCGAAAAATGTCTTCTAATTCAGATACGGAACTGATCGCGAACACATGCGAGCGGGTGGTTAATGGCTTTTCATGAAACATTATATATACTATTTCTTGACCCACTGAGATTTTATGAGAGTAAAAACGTAAATCTATACAAAGCTGAATTCTTTTAACATTTTATTATTTTTTGCATATTAATGTAGATGGATCTACATCAAAGAATAAAGATTTAATGCATCGATGAAATTAAAATGTTTTTTGTTGAAGCTTCTTGATAAGAGCTAATTACTTTGTATTATCTTTGATAAAGAACAGATGGGATACTGTTAATAATTATCTTAATGTAAGTATGCTAAAGAAAAAATTAACTTAATTTGCAATAAAAAAAATAATAAATAAAGATTAACAAATGAGTCGCTCGTTTTAAATATTGTTTGGACTTTGTCCGGATAAGACTTGTTCACCTGTAAATGACACGGCTGTAATCATATATGGCGCATTCTCCTGTAAGGTGAAACAGGAAGAGTAGATAAACATGTATATGTCAATAAATTATCTATTGTCATGGGTGATTAACAAGGTTCCGTCAATCATATTGTCCTCTGCCAAATCTAGAATTTATTCAATTTAAATTTGTATTTGGCAATGTCATATACAAAGTAAAATTGACCAAATTCTAAATTTGGTAGAGGACAATATCATTCAATCGATTTGAGTGTGGTATACATATCTTTTATCTTTCATTGCGAACCTTTTCACTCCGTACATTCTTGAATTATTTTCTGTAATATGAAGGGATTATTAATATTAATTTAAAAACACCTTCTTTAAATCTAGAATTTAATTATAAAATAAAATCTTGATCCATTGATTGCAATTAAACCAACAACTAATTTAATTATTGTGAAGAAATATTATTTGATAGAACCCCGTCTTGCAATTGTTCAGAAAGAAATGATAATAAAGGGCTTTGTTATTAAAAAGATGTTTAAGGAATATTTCCTATACATTTCTATTGTAAACTACATGTCCTCTTATTGTAATCCTACTCCTGGAGGACACAAATTAAAATAGAAATGTATCTACTCTATTTGGTGAGATGAACGTTAAGGTATGTCACTCCTGACACTAGTTAGACCAATGATCGTGAAAATTGATATTCAGTATGCGTATCATTGAGCAACGGTTCAATTAGCTTGACATTTTTACACTTAAATTGTAATTTTTATATTCAACCTCAATCGTATTTTATCATATATAACAATAGCAATGAATATAATCTAATTTGGGTAGACTTTACTTTACCGGTCCCCAGATCCGCAAGATCCGCGCGCTCATTGCACTCTGACGTAAGATTTACGTCACTTAACTGATTAGGGTTAGTCTTGCAAATTTTTCGACTGGTAAGTGTTAGTCTTGCACCCACCTGAGAGATAAGGGTTAGTCCTTGCACAAGTTTTCGACTGATTAGGGTTAGTCTCGCATCCATCCGAGAGATTAGGGTTAGTCATCTCACATGGGTTAGTCTAGCATCCGCCCGGGAGATTTGGGTTATTCCTTGCATACCATCCGAGGGATTAGGGTTAGTGTCTCGTTTTTTTTTTTTAAAGATTAATTAAGAAATTCAGTTGCATCTGTATTTTATCCAAGATCTTAATTCAGCTTTAACGACATCTCTTTGGTTTGTTTACATGGAAAAAATAGCTAAGTACGAAAGAAACGGCACTAAGCATGCGCCGCACGCGCTTCGGTGACAATTATTTTTTGTCTCCTTTTCACTGAATAAACAATATTAATCACTTTTTTCAGAGAACGAGGTTAAAAATGTCGTTTAAAAACGAAGTTTTAAAGAGAACTTTTAACCATGCAATTCGATTTTGGAGTCAAAAAGGCCTCATACTTTTAATTTTTTTCGATCGCTCACACGATCTCATATATACTGAAGTCGCCTACGGCGACACTATATTTTAGCGCGTTTTTCTGGGGACCGGTAAAGTAAAGTCGTTCCTCTAAATTTATGTAAAATACATGTAGTTTAAATGAAAAGATTTTCGAAAAAATGTTGTCGAATCAATGCGCTTAAATCATTTTGTGAACATTTCGCACGAATAAAATATTTTTGGTATTAAAAAAATCTAAACAACACAATATAACATTTTGTTATATCAAGTCTCCTTTGATTTCATTATGTGTTATAGAAGTATCCTGTAATTAAAAAAAATTAAAAAGTGGTGTAAATTTTTAAACATGGTTAAAAAAAATCCAAACTTCATGCTAAAAACAAGGTTAATTTCAGCTTGACGTTTTCAAAATATCTGCAATTTTTGGGTACTTACTGCGCCCTGTCATTAGCAGACCCATTTTTGTATTCATATGAAGCAGAATTTATTCAGAAACTTCTACTTGAAAAGAAGAAGTATCTTGCTGTAGCCTTCAATTCGACATTCAGATATATCGACGACGTTTTGTCAATTAGCAATATTCGTTTTCATTCCTACGTTGATTCGATACATCCCTTTCAGCTCGAAATAAATTATACCACAGTCTGAAACATCTGTTTCATAGTTAATGGTAACCTATAACAACAAAACCTTATGATAAACGTGATGACCTTAAATTTTCTATCATCAACTTCCCTTATTTATGCAGCAATAAACCATTACCACCTGCATAATTATGGATTTTATGTCTCCCAGTTGATTCGAAACGCAAGAGCATGCTCTACGTACGAACAATTTCTAAAAGGAGACAAGCTGTATAATTGACAAATAAGTTTATGAAACAAAAACAAAAAACATCAGTCTCGTTTAAAGTCAACATTTTGCAAATTCTACGGTCCATAAAATGACCCTGTCAGCCAATTTAATATATCATTAATAAGTAGAATGTTGACTGAGGTTTTTCATACAAATCGTCGGCCATTGTTTTCACATTGAATTGTGTACGGATTTTTCCGAAATTAACCGCCCCGTGCTCCTTGTCTTGATTGGGTAAAAACCCAATCAAGACAAGGAGCACGGGGCGGTTAATTTCTGATCGGTCTACAGGGGATGCTTACTCCTCCATCGCATATGATCCCACCTCTGATGTTTTTAGACGTCCGTGTTTGCTCTGCTCCAGATCTGTATTGTTTAAATGGGATTTTGAGCTTGATTGCCTTCGTGTTTCGTGTTGAAAGAATGTGTACAATTAATTCTTAAGATATGATTTGAAACCTAAATTGAATATTCCTTGCATATAGTAATGTAAAAATTCATATGAGTAAAACTATGCAGGGCCAAAGATCCAAGATATTGAATAAAACAAATGTGTAGAGTTTAAGATTTTCTTTTTCAATATCCTTCCACTACAATTAATAGTCCTTGATAAATTTGATTTTTAGCCGATTGTGTAGGTTTTTAATTGAATGTTATACAATTTGCATTGTGTAATTCAGATATGCTATAAGAATGATATCGTCACTAATAATTTTGATATAAGAGGTTCTAACCAAATTTTCTCGAAAGGTGGCGAGTGACACACCTTAATATGTACCACATGGATAAACTCTCTTAGCATATTTGTCTACTAGTATATGTGTTCTTGTTGGTCTTCAGTTTCCTCTATCCTCCTATGCTCAACTTTGAACTCTTATTGTGGACACACCCCTAACCTATTGGTCTCTTTTTGAATAAATATGCAATTCAGTATATGATGTTGCTATATATATTGGTGAAGACGTCTTTACGTTGATCATGAGATGACTTCTTTTAACTATTATGTATTGCTAAGTCAAAAATTCATGGTCTCAGCCATTTGAAGAAAATAAAACATATATATTTTATGCGTTGCACTTTGACTACCATATACTGGGTTATTTTAGATGCATGCAAAGTTAGCGAATTTGTTTTTTTAAAGTGGGTATTTATTATTACATGTATCATGGTTTTCGAGCAATTATAGGTACAATGGTATTCCTGTTCATCATTATAATGAATAAACAGGAGGTCCAATGGCCTTAGCAGTCACCTGAGTATAATACAACACTGTAAAGGATCCATAGAAGTTTAAAAAAAAATTAACTGACAGTTGAAGCTATTTTGCCCAAGAATTTTAAAAATCTGGTAAAAATACCTTGATCTTTTTGGAATCACACTTGGTTTTCCCAAGCCTTACAGGAATGATAAAGAATGCAAAATATACAATTACAATGGACACTTTCCTAGTGTGTAAGATATTCAATATATACAGATATGTGTTTGCTACTTGCTTAGTGCTACAATTAAGTACACAAAGAGAGACCTAGCTATACATCTGCCTCGTGGCTATTTGCCAGTATTCACTAACTACAACATGTTCCCTAGTCACCCTATCTTTCTGTTAACTTGTTCACTTCAATAGAGTATACTATAACTTTATGCAGACTCTTGCCAACTAAACTCTGATTTCCATGAATTTACCTGACAATAACTCGTTATTGGTCAAAGAAGACAACAGTATATGCAGACTAATTACAGCTGGCCCTTTGCTACATAAATTATCTTTATATCAATCTTTTACATTGCTTTCCAAGCAAAAATCCTACTTTGAGCTTGCTTTGCTTGTTTAAACAAAACATTCATTTTAATTTTGTTTATATATATAACATACTTTTTTGTATTCTCGTTCAATCAAATAACCTGTTAATTAAATTATATACAAGGATTTCTTGATTTAACAGAATTTAGCAAAGGGGAGTAACTCTTATTTGCTTTTGTACTCTGTTTGCCTTCTAGATACAAAAGAGCAGAGAAAAGGCACATTTACTTATATTTAAATATTTACATTTTATATTATTGCATTTAGTCTGTTTGCTTAATACCCAGGAGCA